GGATAAATGAGACTAGCCAAAAACACAATATGAATATAATATTATTTAGAAGTGCAGGATTAATTCAAACATAAAATATATTTGTTTTTCATTGAAATGGTCACACATAAGAGTAAAATGGTAGACTTAAGGTAATACAGACCAACTGTGCTTACATACACAGTCACCTCCTAAAGGCTGATTCAGAGCCAGGAAACTCAATTCGTGCTTTAGCGGACATGAAGGCTGCACGTGTCAAAGAGGGGACAAGCTCTGAGGCATCATATTACTCATACAATACAAAAACTAATCTAGTTAAAACCGTTGGCATTTAGCCACACACAAACACAGGACTCATTGTTTACAGTTCTCTCATTACCTGTTCTTTGTAATGCTACAACACAAATACACCCTATAATATAAATACACCCTATAAATGTATTTTTAAAACATCTTTAAAAACCATTTTGCTGTATTCTACAACCACAAAATATCTGGCTTTAGGAAGGCATTCAAGGCTACCATAGTGAGCTAACAGACATATTTCTAAAGTGCTGAAGTACCGTTTCAATAATTACAGTGCATTGAGACTGGCTTCAGTTCCAGACAGAGTACCTAAAAAAATGCAGCGCCAGCATCCACTACTCTATCCTAATGGGCAGCAAAGTACCAGCCTCCAAACCACAGTGATGAGCATTACATCCTTACCATCCCACAGCTACAGAGAGAAACACAGGCAACAAGGGTGAAGGATGAAATAAAGTTTAACCCTTAAAGTCTTCCTAAACAGATGTAGTGGAGCAGGGTTCAAGCACACTGGTGGTAGCCTCACAGCCCTGCACTCATAATTAATCCAGCTTTTTGACATTCATGCATGTAGACACTGATGGAAACCAAAGCTGTGGTACCACTTTTTAGCCAACTTTAGCAACTAGCATAGCGCTACAGAAGAGGAGTCCGCATTAATCAACATGATAGAATTTACCATTTACTTTCAAATATCACGACTATAGCTTTCAACCAAACAAATGACATTTCATAGAAAGGTATTGAAATTATCTATTTATTTCATAACAAGTAAAATGAAGGCTAATAATGTGTTACTTAAAAGGCTATCTAGGAATGCCGAACCGGCTGTGGATCGGCAAACTCTGCAGTGTTGTGGTAAAACTGACAATAGTTAACTAATGTGACCTAGTGCAGAGGGGGAGAGTGTTACTGTAGGTGTGTGACCATCAGTTTAAAGATCATGCTCTTGTGCCAGTTAACATGTAACTCAATAGACTGTACAAGACAGCCAATCACAAGTCAGCTCACAAAGAAAACAAATCTATGAGAGGTTAAGAGCACAAATTCTGTGGTTGCTGAGGACTTTTTTTGGTCCCACAGTGCAAATAATGAGATCTTGCCTGCAAAAATCCCACTTCATCCCCTGGCTGCAAGTATTTTATTTTCAAAATTCCCATGAGTGGACTCTGAGCCACTCTAACATTATGCAAATCTGCTGGTGTCCAATCTACTAAAACGATCATGAGACAACTTTTAGGGGTTAAAAGTAAAAATGTATATATAAATAAAATACAATTTAAATAGAAAACAAAACCCTAAATGTGAGTTTCTTCCCAGTGAGTTTATTATAAACAAATAAACCGCATGTAAGAGCTGATAACTCAGCAAAGCTCCCTTAAATATGAGCACTTCTGGCTCCATTTTTATTTAATAAAAATAAATAAATAAAAATTACCACAATGCTTGACTAGAAAATGAGATTCTGTATCCGAACCCCTTTGGTTTCTCTCAGGATATTTGTCTTTTTGCAGCCATTTTTCTGCCTTTTGTTTGGAAATTTAATTGCATATCAAAGTCCCATAGTGTGAGCACTGAGCATCATTCTAATTACCTCACAACCACTCACACGTTTGGTTTGTTGATATGGAGGTGGTTAACATCTAGCTATTGGGAATTTTTCCATTCTGATCAGAATTTTTAAAAAGATCATCATATGAACTTTCCACCAGATCAGACATGAGTATAGTACGACAAAAGTGTGGATTGAATTTCCATGAGTGTGGGACTGAGACGGACTCTGGTTACAAGATGTAACCAGCTCACTTCCAGGAAAATGCAAATACTCCATGCTGTGCAAGGGTTATGCGCTTTTCATTCATCTGCTCCGACTTTTGACATGAAATAAGGTGACTGATGGACATGAGCTCTAATTTCTTTTCAAAATTAAAATGATTAATACAAGAATGATTTCACTGGGGCATTAATACTCTATTGGTTAAACTTGCCTTCTTTTTAAATTTGCCAGTAGGTCTTTTTTTTGGACTACCTACAGCATCTTTTCAGAAGTTTCTTCCTGTTAAAAGGGACTTTTTTCTTCCCACAGTCACCAAGTGCTTGCTCATAGTGAGCCATGGGTTTGTTGGGGTTTCTTTCTAAAATTCTAGTGCATTTACCTTCCAATATAAATGTCTTTAAGTGTCTGCTGTAGTGATTTAGCACTACATGAATAAACCTGAGTTGAACTGAATACGATTTGAACCCCAGACATCATATCCACTCAGAGCTGATGCACACATGATGAGCCAATGCAAAGCTGAATAAATAGCCAAAAATCAGGAATAATGCTATAGAATATCACTGCAGTTATCAAACTGAAAGTGAAACTTGAGACATAAAATTGCCACTTTTATTTACCCATCACCTCAAATAACAATCCCAGCACTGACAGTCTGTTAGTGTTGTAACAGTTATGTTTATACTGTTGCTGGTCCTTTACCTTTTTCCTGTCATAGAGAAGTCATAATAGGCAACATGTTTGGAGTGTAGAGAATTGAATGTTAAAAAAAAAAACAACTAAGCGCTGCAGCCACTGTTAGTGCTTTTATTTTATTTTTTTAATCTTTTTGCATTTTTCCAACCAGACACAAACGCGACCAAGAATCCACCTGAAGGCGCCTCGTAGCTGGCAAGGTTTGACAAGGAGGTATCTGAAGCATTCCATGCAAAACAAAAGGACAGGTTTGTTAATCAGTTACAGACTTGCTCCCTAGTGCACTGTACCCATTTACACAAGCCAGTCACACTAGATTTCTCAAATGCAGCCACCTGCATTTTTCGCACAGACCGTCACGCCTGAAATAAAACAACAACTGCAGTCTCCCCAATAGGCACCACTGCCCAGGCTCAGTCATAAAACAAGCCTTAAAGTTTACAAGCCAAGCATACCAGGGCTTAAGGATGTGCGGAGAACTTGAAGCAAATGCTTAAATCAATTCCTCCGATTCAACATAGTAGTTTGTTTTGGGTTTGTTTTTTTTTTAAGTTCTTGTACTAATAATGTAAAAATGTTTCATGTGCTACTGATAGTTTGGATTTTAAAAAGGAGTTCATAATACTTGCACATTCCTGTTTATAAATCCCCCTTTATCCAGCCATTGAAGTTTAAGGTTACAGAAGGCACTGAAATGAGAAAACTATTTCAAGCCCTTCTTCTCGGTTGCTTTGACCTTTGGGAAGAGGAAGAGGAAACGGGGGTGTGGGCAGGGGAAGTGGCTGTACAGTATGAGGGGGGGAAAAAAAACCCAAAAAAGAAAAAAAAAACCAACCAAACACAGCTGTGTCCAAGTTCACAGGCTGGCAAAATATGCGAGCCTTTTACTTAACTTTAAAGCTACACTCCATCATATGCTGCTAAAACAGTAGATATCTGATGCATCTTCATATGCTCGACATCTGTGACCAGGAAGTGCACAAATACACCAGCCAAGTCACTCAAATTCAGTTAAAAGGTGACTGCATTTCTCCATTCGTTTCCGATGAGCCTTTTAAATGGGGCAGAAGTGCAGATTTTGCCAGATTCATCCTCTGAAGTAGGACACAGCAGCAGTGAACCTGTAATGACCCTCTAAGAGCTTAGCCAGACAGTCAGAATAAACAGAGAAGGGTGGGTGTCATGTGGCTGTGTCATCCACACCCTGTGTCACATCCAAGTGATGAAATGGGTTTGGGAGTAAGAAACACACACCCAAATGCAAGGGCCTGCATGTAAATAACATTTCTGAAGCCAGGGACAGTCACTGGTCTTGATTCCAAAAGCCCTGCCACACCACACCCAGTCAAGCCCCAAAACACAGTGATTATGTAATGTAGACTCACAGCCAAAACCTGAAGGATAAACAGCATCGCTCTATCATTGAGATCTGCAGACGGTGCCTCTGATAGTCTGCCTTACTTACTGCTTTGCCAGGTGGAGAGTGAGATCACCCCATGTGCAGAGATGCAAATATGAAAACAGGCCTTGATGGTAATCTTGGAAAGAAACTACTAAGCTGGCAGTGCCAAGAAAACAAAAGGTGCACGGTGCTTAAAATGACTGGGGAACTTAACGCATGAATGGCAAAGTAAGATTCTCAGATGAACGCCTAAAGATACACCACATGAGGAAAAGAAAACACAAGATGCCCACATATCCAACTTTGCACGCCTGGTTCCAATTTTACCTCCCCAATAGTCTGGTTTAGAGTTTCTGGGTGATTTAAACGCCTCAAAGGGAGCTTTAATAACACCGATTAGCAGAGGGCCCCGTCGTTCTGCCTCGCAGAACAATAGCGTGTGTACGCCAGGGAGGCTGGCGTGAAGCTGCTCAGTAAACTGAATCTGATGCCAACGGAGACCCTGTCAAACAGAGAACCTGGAGCACCGTACATCGGGATAAATTTCACCCCGAGACAGAACGGCACACCGGAACCACCGCCCAGCTCCGTGCTAACGTTTCACATCCATCATCCCATCAAGCTACACACCGACCACTCCACACCACAAAGAGGGCGTCTGGCTTCAAAACAAACGCTGCTTTCTTCATTTAAGAGATGCTAAAATAAAACAAAGAGGGTGAGCCCTTCTAGGCAGAACTGTAATTTTTAAATTTAGCAGAAAACTGTGCAAAGATGTAGCCTAACTCGAATGATGTCGCTCGCGGCAGAAACGTTACAGCGTAGTAAATTGTCCGTTACCTTTCAGCCGTCGTTAAGACTCCCGAGGAAACAAACAGTCGGCCCCTTTCGGCCCCGAAGACGACGCGAAACGCACTAAATATGCAGGCGAAGCCGTAAATTTTACTGAACTAACAATAGAGCCGCGCATTCAGCGGCGGGCGTCCCTCCTCGTGTCCTTCCCTTCACGTTTGAGCAGCGGCAGGAGGCGACGGGCTGCTCCCCTTAATGAAGGACGGACCCGAAGGGGAGGAGTGGCGGAGGAGTCCGGCTGCAGACTGAAGGCGAAGCGTGGCGGTCATAAAAGAAAACGCAGATTAAATCCCACCGCCGGCCCAATCAAAGGCGCGAGCCCCGGCGGTTATGCAAAGCAGGAGTGACGTGGTAGTCAAACCGTGTCCCTGTGTGAGCGCGTGACTTTAAAATTGGAAATCAAGGTGGTCCGGGAGGAATTCAGTAGTGGTGTGCGATGCTACAAATTTTGGTATCGATCCGATATCAAATAAATACAGGGCCAGTATTGCCAATACATAACAGTGTGTCATGACATATGACATGAGTCATAACTGGAAAGTTGTGAACACGTTTTAAGGCTACACACACACACACACACACACACACACACACACACACACACACACACACTTTTCAGGGTTGTTTTTGTTTTTTTGAGGAGGGTGGGCTGGAATTTAAATGTGCCTGTCTTTAAAGGACTTTATGTCAACCTCTTTTTAAATGTCCTATAGGGATAAATAAAATATATTCATGTTTGAGATACATTTTTTCATTTTTAATAAATAAATAACATCATTCAGTAGGCTATATACGGAACTTAGAGGAGAGAAACAAAGTATCGATCCTTTCACTCTAGTATCATCCACTACCAATACCAGTGTTGGTATTGATACTGTCAATATTTGGATCAATCTGCCCACCTCTAGAATTTAGCCCCTGCAAATTTGTGGCTTCAACAGCATTACTTTGTCCTGCAGACACACACATCTTTTAAAACACAAGCACATGCTCTGACCAAGCTGAGATAATCTTGTCCTTTTTCCAATTTCATCCTCCCTAAGCCAGGATAACAAGATGGAGTATCTCCAGTTTGTAGATACGACCTAATCCTGCTGCTGCACAGAGTAAACAACAGGAACCATATCAGATTCAACTCCTCTTATAGGCCTTATGCACAGCATGCCTCTACCTTGTTTTATCATCTTTTCCCACAACTGTGGATAGAGAAAATCTTTTACCCCCAGATGTTTACTCATGAAGCTCCTCTGTGAAATATTAATCTTTTACTTTACTTTTTCCTATTCTCTTGTTGATTTTGCTTACATTTTTGTGTAATTTTCACCCTATTATTGCACGAGATAGGTGAAGAACAGAGTGCAGGCAGGTTGGATCGGGTGAAAATTAGTGTCAGGAGTGCTTCTGGCTGAAGAATAGCAGCAAGAGTGAAAGGGAAGGTTTACAAGATGATATCGAGACCTGCTATGAAGTACGGTTTGAAGATGGTAGTCCTGACACAAAGATGGGAGTAACTGGGAGTGAGCAGGATGGACAGGATTAGAAATGAATAGATCAGAGGGACAGCTCAGGTCGAGCGCTTTGGACATGTACAGAAGAGGGAAAGTGGATATACTGGAGAAAGGATGTTGAACATGGAGCTGGAAAGCAGGAGGAAAAGAGGAAAACCTCAGGGAAGATTCAAGGATTTAGGGGAAGAGGACATCGATGTGACAGAGAAGGATGTGGGGATAGGGTGAGAAGGAAGGAGACGAGCCGCTGTTGTTACTATGGGAGCAGCTTAAAGAAGGAGAAGAAGAATACGAGTTGTTTTTGTCCTTTTAAAATTCAAGCTACAGTTCATTAGGAGCCAGCGGTGATTTATTCAACCAGGAGTTTTCCAAGAATCTCTGCTTCTCCGCGGGGACAACGCCACTGAAACTCTCTGCCTCAGATTCCTTCACCCACATGTTTGCGATCTGTACTTAAAACCAAAATTCCTGACAAAGAACTGCAAGAGCTGCACAACAGGTTTGGATAGTTATATCCAAAGAAAGCGAATAAGAGATTGAAATTGTTAATTATCTGTGCTCACACTTTGGTACAGTGTCCACCGCCCTATGGTACGAGCCCACAATAGGTTTTAGACGCATGCTTTTATTTTCTTATCACAATGAGACTTTGAGCTGCAGCTGCAGGCTCAGTGAAACACTGAAAAGACAGAAGGATACAAAGACGAGCAAAATGGGTTTGGACAGCTGACATCAGCTGTTGTTTTCTCTTATGAGCACGGAGAAAGAATGAGGTTGTTTAAAAAGAGAGGCCGTGGGTAAAGAGAGAAATCTGAGTGAAGGGGAAGAATGAAGGTTTAGCAAAAAAAAATCATCAGCCTTGGACTCGCTGGTGTACACGTTCTCACTACACTTCGATGGAGACTGAGAAACAGAGAGAGAGAGTGTGTGTGAATCATGTGTCTCTCCATCCCTGCTCCTTTCAGGACTCTGGCAGTTGTTTCATCAGCTGCCTGTCATCCTTTCCAGTCGGGAAGGGGCCCTGCGCCAGAGCGAGAGGGGAAAACCCAAAGCTCCTCCAAAAGTTTAACTAATTCTTATTTTAACTCATTGCCTCCTCTGAAAGCCTACTAGAAGTAACCCTTGAAGCTTTTTTCTAAACTGAGTGCTTTCTGTCATAATTTCTGCCTCATTATGACACAAAACGACTGGGTATGCATCAGAGGTTAGGAAGGGTGATCTCTCTCTGTGCAGCTGCCCTTGGAAACTATTTTAATGGTCATCAAACCAAATCTTTACTGATCTGTACTGAGGTGTCAAAACTTGCCACGGGAGAGGTCGTTCAATGTTGTGTTTATGGAGGAAAGCGTTAAGGAGATTTATTCACTTCCTGTTTTTTTTATGCAAACTGAAACCTAAAAACCTCTTGGGTGTGAATCCAGCAGAAACGATTTTTAGTCTCCATCTTTTAGTTGCATGAACTGAAAACTAATGGAATCCATCATTATTTCACAGGACTGAAAAAAAGCTGTTATCCCCACACATCCTGCTCATCCATTTCAGATTGATCATAATGTTGTTACACAAGGGTGTGGCTCAGCGGTTAAAAAAAAAAATCCTTAACAGAATTAGGATAGACTGAGAATTTGAAAGGCTTTTATGCACACACTGTCTTGTTTTTAAATCTGCTTCTTTGCTGTGGTCTTCACTCACCCATCTGCCCAAACACCTCACAGTAAGGACAGCTGCACACACAAAACAAAGCCCCCCCACACACACAGAGACACACACGCTGACACACCAAACGGAACTCAGGCGCTGATACAGATTGAGTGACACGGCGCGTAAGATGAGGGGGAAGGAGACGGTCCTCGCCGCTGCCACTGCTCCTGCTGCAGGCCTGCGTTTTTGATCTGGGATGCTTTGTTAATTTAAAAGCCTGTGAAGTTCAAACGGCGAGTCACAAATGAACAAGCGGCATCAAACTGGGATCAACAAAAGGACCACACCTGACAATAGCATACTGCTACAACTGAGACCATTAGAAGCTTTTGGAAAGACGATTTTCCCTCTGGGCTTTCACTGAACATCAAAGGTGCTGAGTGAAGTAGTCCTACACATTCACACACATCAAGTGGAAGAAAATAGTGACAGCCTCTAATCCAACAAGATGGATGGGCCATGTTTATGAGAGACATTACACTGTGGACCTTTCCTTCTGCCTTACACACTCCAACATGAGGCACCATCAGAGCGGTTGGCTACATAATGCATGATGATATTAGGTTAAGTGGGTGGAAGGCAAAGATGGGCTACATGAGCTGCTGCCAAAGCTTGCTTAGGACGCTCAGCAACCAGGAAATGAGCTCATGTGTTCTCTAACAGAAGAATTGCAATCTACCCTCTCTGGAAGATCAGCGCCCCAGCAACAACATACAAGGCATTTACAACATCATCATGATGTGTTTTAAAGCCCCCCCCCCACGTGTGTGCTTTTCATATGAAAGTGAGAAAAACAAGAGAGAGAGAGCAAGGCTGGAAATACACTCCTGAACATGCACGAATCAAGTCCCTGCAATGAGATATTGATCTATATTTTCTTGAAAGAGCTCTTGCAACCTTCAAATTTTTATAATTTACATCTATTTTTTAAGAATTACCCATCTTTTCATTTTCTTCCACTTATCGAATTCAGGGTCACAGTAAGGGTGGAGCCTATCCCCATATGATAGGCTGTCATAGGGTGAGAGCCAGTGTACCCCTTGGACAGATCATTAAAACCCATTTTTACTCCTTGGCTTATGACATAGTCTGAACCTGATTTTATTGTTTTAATCTAATGTGCTGACTTTATTGTTTTAAATGTAATTCTAATGATCATTTTATACTATTTTATTATTGTTTTTGCTATTTGTGCCAATTTTATTATTTTAAATGTCATTTTAATTATCATCTTATTTTTTTAAAATATTTTTTCTTTATTTTATATTATTTATATATTTTTTTAACTTGTTCAATGTATCATTTCTGGCATGTCAAGTGTACAGCACTTTGTGCTGGGGGCTGATCTGAAAGTGCTATATAAATAAATTGCTTGCTTGCTTGCAGTCTATCACGGGGCTAACACACAGACATGAAACCATTGATTAGTTACTCGAAAGCTAATTTAAAGTCACCAATCAACCTAAAACACGAGTCTTTAGAACCTGGACAGAACATGCAAACTCCACATAGGACGTTTGCAGCCAGCTGGTGGATTTTAACCCCAGACTTTGTTTCTGTGAGGCAATGCAGTCTATTTTTGAAGACAGAACCATTAAGTTCCAAATTTGGATCAGTAAATTGTTCATACAAATCCATTTTTGTATTTTTGTATACAAATTTTGGATAGAGGAGAAAACCACTGGGACTTCTCCATTCAGGAAGTTGGACCGAAGAGCCAGAACCATTATCAGTGACTTCTCACACCCTCCATCACAGACCGTTCCCACCAGCTTCTGCAATAGCTTTCCCCCAGGGTCATCAGACTTCTGAAATCAAAACGAAGATACGCCACAACTCCACAGGTCATTTTTATTATTGCACTTTGTAGTATTTTTGCTGCTATACATTTAAATATAGTTCTTTTTTTGTTTGTTTTTTTAAATCCTGTGTTGTACCAGTTGGAATGTTATTTTATCCCTTGTACACTTAGATTTCAATCTTATTGTCATTAAATACACACTAAGTGTAGCTTTTGAGTAATCTTGGTAAAAATGTCCACACACACACACACACACACGATCATGCAAGGTTGCGTGAATCACCATCCCGACACATGAACTACTTCCTCCCTCTGCTGATGGTTAGGTGGAACAGCAGGAAACAGCTTGTTGACTTAGATCAGACCAGGAAAATTTAATCAGTAGTTTGAAAAGTATGACAGGTCACACTACGTGTTGTCCCTCACAAGCACAGTTCAAGTGCAGGTAATTCATAAAAAACAAACACAACAACACAAAACAAAAACAAGATAAAAAAACTCCAGGGAAACACAAGATGCAACATTTAAAGTTATCTATAATTTAGACATGTTGTCCATGGAAATCCAAAGTCCATCTGTATATTTAGCTTACAATTTACTCTGCTGGTGTTTCAGGCAGAAAATGAAAAGGCTGAAAAAAAAAAAAAAAAAAAACATCTTATACTTCATTTACCTACTCCTCCCTGACCAATAGCTCCTCTCTCTAAATGGTATTTGGAGTCCAGACTGAAAAACTCCTTAAACGATTGTGCGTTTTTTTGCGATAAAAAGACAAACAAACATACATTATTCAAGTTTCTACTAAAGATCAAGTCAGTAGGCAGCAGTTAGAGACATCATTATGAAGGCAACAAACAACAACAAAAAAGCAGAGCAAGCCACTAAAACAGGACAATCTGTTGTTTTCTTTCTTGTCATCTCTCCCAAACCAGACTCCGCTTTACTTAGAGCTACTTATTGTGCTTAAAATAAGTCAGATCCAGTTTGCTAATGGTCCTCAACGCAGTCTACAAACAGGGGTGCAGCACTTTTGATAGACCGAGTTTCTTTTTAATACTTCAGCTTCATTAAAAAAAAAATGTGGGTCTGAAGAAGAAACTGCAGCCAAGGTCAGGCAAAAGCTAAGTGCTTTGTTAGTGAACGGTTGCGTCCCATTACCCTGATCATTACTGAAAGAAAACGAAGCAATAAAAATGAAATAAACTGGGATCTACATTTGAAGGCAACATGATGCAGCACAGCCGCCGCTAATGACACTGGTCGAAACTTTCTAATAAATGTGCAGCTCACAAAGAAAAGGAATCAATTCCACGCCGAACGCCCATCTGCGATCCAGCTTCCTGATATGTTTTGGAACTCTGTAAAACCAATCACATGGGGGATTTTTTTGTCCTGTTCTGTTTAAATGTCATGTCATGATTCTCCAGCTAGCAAATTAGCTTTGGCTATAAAGAGGCATTTAAGAGATATTAGATTATTTACATTTTTAAAACGAGTTCTGTACAATAAAATGTTGCTGAATATGATATAAATATCTAATTTTAAGAGTCTCCTCCTCAGGAGCCAACCGATTTGAAATACTTCAAAAGTAAAACAAACAAAAAACAAAACATAGACAGCACCAAGAGTTCCTAGTCTGGGTGAGCATAAAATACACCAGATATATTAAAAATACTGAATAATGTTTAAAAAAACCCCACACTAGAACCAAGAGAAATGTCTGTGCAATAGCCTTCTTCGATGCTGCTGTTTATACAGAGGAAAAGGCCCAGCTCTTCATCTGTTCCACGTTTCCTCTGCAGAGCGCAGTTCCAGCCAATCGCAACTCCCACTTTGGAACAGTCGTTTGGTTTGACCCAGATACACGGAGACACCGGGTGTTGGGTGGATGCAGTGTGCCCCACTGGTCAGCAGGGGAGGCTAGTGAGGTTTCAGAGATTGGTGAGGTTGATTTCAGTTCACCAGCAGGACATCTTCATACGTGGTTGTTCTGAGGGGAAAATAAGGTTTGATGATTTACTACAGTTAGGATGTTTAATATTATTATCTCTGTAATTACAGTTTCTCATGGTAATATTTACGGGACATATTTTAACAATTTCAACAAAAACAACACGATATTCACGGACGCATTTTTGAC